TATATAACATATATATTTACAGAGTGGAAAAGCGGATTTAGTGTTGTGAACCGTTTACGTTTACATCATTGTAATGAATGTTGATGATTGTTGTTAGTTTATGTGCCAATATATTGTCTTATCGAATATAGGGCAAATAAATGTTGTTAGATATCATTATTCGTAAACGTGTATATATCCTTATTATTACTTGACGCTTGCTAACGTACACTTTGTTGTCTATAACATAATGAATAGAAAAATATTATAAATCGTATAAAAAATATTTCTTTCGCATAAATTATAAAAAAATTAATCAGCCACCGTAATTACAATGAATGATTTTCTTCTTATAATGTAGTATGGCTACAGCGAATGATCAATTTCATTTTATCTAATAACAGTTAAAAGTCACTCGCTCTAAAATCTAAAATATAATAAGATTGTAATAGCGAGATATTACAAAAATATTTTATATCAAGAAGATGGTGCCTTCCGCAGCCATAATTTGATTTGAATCCATCATGGTATTGATAGCGGCTTTAATCTCATCGGATGTGAAATTCAAAGAAAGCGTTGTGTTCAGATGGTCAACGACTTCTGTCTGTAGAATATGTTGAACTCTTCGTTCTTGGAACAACTTGTTAAGCGACGACTTGAAGACCGCAAGTCTAAAATTAAAAATAAGTTTATTTAAAATATATTTACTTTGCAATTGTCATTATTTATAATTCAGGCACATTGATAGCAGAATAAAAATATAAAAATAACACGTTGGAAATATTTCAGATATAAAAAAAAATCACGCGAGCCATCATTTACTTAACTATTTAATTAATAATTTTGTTCCATAAAAGTAAAATTCAAGTTTCATCGAGGATTATTCAATTCAAGTGAAATTACCTTTCTTGTGTGATCGTTGGCGTCGCTGTTTCTGGAACAGAGGATTCTTGATCTTCGGTTTCCATATGATTTGACGGCGCAGATGTACTAACGCTTTGTGATTGTGTCCTGGTTATTCTTCTGGTTACTTGCTCGATATGATCATCATCATTATCATATTCATATGGATCGGCCGATTCTCCCGTCGTCCTTTTGGCGCGTTTGGTCCGTCTGCTCTCATCTTCTTCATCCGTATCTTCTGATGCACTGTCGCGACGTCGTCGCTTTTTCTTTTCTTTCTCTAGCACACGTTTGAAATAGGCAAACTGCACCAGCTCTATTGCGGCGCGGGCATCCTCGCTCTCTACGTTTTTTGAGAGTCGGGCTTTCGCATGCGCCGTAGACAACCGAATCAACGTCTCCAAAGTTCTCGCAGTCACCGGTTGAGTCTACAAGTTATACAAAATGATATTAAACATATATTTATATATATCGTTTCCAAACAAGTTTAAGATTTTTTTCTAACTCACTCTTGCAACGTCAGATTCCACCATATCCTCCGATCGAAGTTTCGAATATTCTTCCGCAATAACAGCACTAGCCTCTTCTGTGAGCTTGGGTTTCATACACCGTGCGATGTGGATATACTTCCTCATAAATTGTATAGTGAGAATTTGATCGCTGAGAGATTTAAAAAACAAAAATTGAAAAATTATATAAAATTTTTAGGCAATTGTTATTTTTTAAAATCAATCAAATTAAAACATAGAGTTAAAATAAAAAAGATGTCATGAAGTAATGAAAATGGATGGCAATGTACTTTTTAGAACGTGTTTGTCCATGCAGAAGCGGATCATATTTCTGATAAACTTGCGACTGTGTTTCCTCGGTAACTACATCATCTGGATTTTTCGTGGTCAACATATCTAATTTTGAACCTAAGCTTAATGCCTCTCCGTCCTGCTCCAAAGGACTTCTGTATCGATGCATCCGAACGACATGATCGCTAATTATGTGATCCTGATCCGAATCGATTATGTCCAACATAACAAAAAGCAAATCGAAACGCGATAGCAAAGAATCCTGCAGGCCAATATTTTCCATAGGAGTCTTGTATTGATCATACTGAAAATGGAGAAAACTTTAATTAAATAATGTTCACAAGTTTTTTTTAAATAAGAGAAAGAAAGAATAATTGGTATATATATCATTTTATTTATTAAGTTTTATATAAGCAATTACGACTTCTAATATAGAAATATTTTTGCAAAGAAGCAAATTAAATTCAAGTTTGCTTTTTATAAATCATACATAAATCTATAAATCTGAATTTTTTGTATTATTAGAGAAAATAAAATATTAATAACTTCTTCAAGATCCAAACTTACTCTTCCATACACAGGATTCGCAGCCGCTAATACGGAACAACGTGCATTCAAGCTGGCATGAATGCCCGCTTTGGCAATTGTGATTCTGCCTTGCTCCATCACCTCGTGTATCGCGGTCCTATCAATGTCCGACATTTTATCGAATTCATCGATACAAATAACACCGCGGTCTGCCAGGACCATCGCGCCTGCTTCTAATCTGCGTTCGCCAGTCTCTTGATCGACTGTAACTGCCGCCGTCAAACCGACGCCGGAAGATCCTCTCCCAGTCGTCGGAATTGCTCGTGGAGCGGTGCACAATACATAACGCAGTAGTTGCGACTTGGCCACTGAGGGATCTCCAATTAATAACACATTTATATCTCTGCAATACATTTAAAATATTTTAATTATTATTTCAAAATTACTACCAGACTATTTACTAACTACCAGAATATTTATAACTTTTATCTTCAATCTTTTTCATATATTTTTTATTAATTTAAAAATTATACATTTGTAAATATACAATTGTAAATATTTTTTTAATCAAATCTATAATTGAATTTTAAATTGATTAATCAAACCTATAATTGAGCTTTAAGACTTAAAGCTTATATTATTAAAAAATCCAATATAATTTTGAATAGTTTTTTTTTTATTGAAAACATGAAAAATCTTACCCTCTCAGCCTCGTACCATTTGGCAAGATCTTCTCCACTCCACCCAATAGGAGACACAGAATTGCTTTTTTTATGTATTCATTGCCATGTATGGATGGCGCAAGGGACTTGGCGAGGAGCTCGAAAATATTTTTGCAGGGGTTGTGCTTTGCAAGTTTCTTGCACATAGCTACATCGTCGTGAGAGATTGCAAGGTTGGCTTCTTTACTCAGTTGCATTATATTGTTGGCAATTAAAACCGTTCTATACAAAAATAATTTTTGTGATGGTCTTCGAAGTGATGATATAAGGTGATGTAATTAAATTGGAAAATAACCTGGATTCTTGTTTAAAACATACTTGAAAGTTCCAGTGGTGTATCCACCTTGTTTTCCCGGAAGACACCGGTAATTCCCAACAACCTGCACTCGATCACCAGGTTTGCACAAATCCACTAAATCATTATCGCAAATTACGTCCACGCTTCGTGGGAGCTGTCCGGCGGGAGCTTTCTCGGGCATTTCCTGTATAGTGAGCGTCTGATGATCCTTGTAAGTTGACAAACCGAATTCTGTTTCCAATGGATTGCCATCTTCATCCTACAGTATGAAAAATAAATCTATAGATTAAACAAGAAATTTTATATATCATTTAACTTGTAGGAATAATTACAGTAGTTGGGTAAATAGCAGAATGGGGAAAGGCTTCTAAGGAAGTTAGATCCGAATAGGCTCTCTCCAGGATAGTTTTAGTTACATCGCAGTAATGGACACTCCGCACAACTTTTGGTCGTACCAGAGAACCTATAGTAGGCATTTTAATTTTATAAATAATGCTATTTTCAAAAGTATAAATTTTTATACAAGATATGATGAATTTTCTATATAAATAACTTAAACAAGCTTTTATAAAATAATATTGAATAAATTCAGACAAGTCTAAATAGGAATTAAGTTTAATATTTAAAGCTTAATTAAGTTTTAAAATTTAATACTTTTTTCTTGGCTACTTACATTTTGTAACAATACCCTCTACGCATACCAAATTACCCAAATAACGAGAAGTGAGCGTTCTCGGTGTAACATGCTTGTTTCCAAAACTGCCCTCGAAAGCCACAAAGAAGTCTTTGTTGCTTTTGGCATAATCAATGTCTATACTCGAAATGTATTGTTTCAAAGCATTCTGAAATGCCAGTTGTTCCTCAAAAGAATTATTCAACAGGCTGCAACATAATTAGTTTTTATAGTTACCTTTCTGTTCTCTCTCTCTCTCTCTCTCTCTCTCTCTATATATATATATATATATATATATATATATATATATATATATATATATATATATATATATATATATAGTA